TCCCAGGACACAGCCTGTGTATGTGCTGTCCAGGAGCAAAAACTTGGGAGAGAATGACCTAGAAAAACAGCAGGAGTTTGCTGTGCGAAAAGGTTACATTTTCTGCACTGTCCAGGTCGGGATTAAGGACAGTTCCAGTGGGAGGACTCCATGCAGTCCTCTGTCCTCCCTCCCTCTGTGACCCCAAGCTGGGTCAGAAGCCTAGGGCTGCTGGGTGCGAGGGTCCCTCAATTTTCTCAACTACAGCAACTTGCTTCCCACCATCACAGTGCTACTCCATGTGGTGTATGAATTCCCAGACATTTTTTGGACATCTGCACATAAACACGTGTCCACCCAAATCTAGAATTCAATTTGGCATTTCATTTTATTTTGCCATGGATGGGATTCCACCATCTGTAATTGTTTGGCAACCTTGATATTTTTTTCTCCCATATAAAGATATTTCAGCTGTCTTTCCCCTGATGTATATCTCCCAGTGTGTCACAAGTAACCATAGATCATGCCTTATTTGAGTGATCCCTAATTGATCCCTTAGATTAGGTCAGTCCACCACCCCCGGCCCCATACACACACAATTATTTCTCAGCTGGATGTCTCTCCTTCCATGGCAAGTATGGATCTGTTTATTTTACTGAGCCCCTAAAGACGAAAACTGAGGTTAGTTCCATTCCCCCCAATGTTTGCACTTCAGCCACCTTTCCCCAGAAGCATCTATACTCCTTGCATCTTACAGCATGTGTGGGCTGCACTTGGTGTGCCTAGTCCCCTATTGGTGGGCACATAGGGTAGTTTCAGGTTTTTTCAGTGTTTCAAATAACACTGAGGAAAACCTCCTTGTTCATCCTGCTCTGGTCCTACATGTGAATTTTACTCAACGATGCATCAATACTCACTCATGTCTATTGACTTAAAACAATAGAAATTGATTCTCTCGGCTCGGCGCCTGTAGCTCAACCGGCTGAGGCGCCAGCCATGTACACCTAGGGTGGCGGGTTCGAATCCCCAGCCCGGACCCGCCAGACAACAATGACGGCTGCAACCAAGAGATTGCCAGGTGTTGTGGCGGGCGCCTGTGGTCCCAGCTACTTGGGAGGCGGAGGCAGGAGACTCGCTTGAGCCCAGGAGTTGGAGGTTGCTGTGAGCTGTGATGCCATGGCACTCTACCCAGGGGAACAGCTTGAGGCTCTGTCTCAAAAAAAAAAAAAAAAAAAAGAAATTGATTCTCTCAAAAGTTCTCAAGATTAGAAGTCCAAAATCAAGGCTCTAGGAGAAGATCTTTCCTTGACTTCCTGGCTTCTGGTGGCTGCTGCCGGCAATCCTTGAGGTCCCTTGACTTGTAGACCAGTCTCTGCCTCTGTTGTCGCATAGCCATCTCCCTGTGTCTCTGTGTCCATATTTCTTTTTTTTTGTTGTTGCAGTTGTCATTGTTGTTTTTTTTCTTATTACAATCACAGACATTTATTATTTCTAACTGTAGTTGTCATTGTTGTTTTAGCTGGCCCTGCCAGAACCCACCAGCCATGGTGCATGTGGCCGGCACCCTACCCAGTGAGCTATGGGCGCTGCCCTGTGTCTGTATTTCTGTTGTATAAGGACGCCAGTCATTGGATCAAGGCCCACCCTAATCTGTTGTGACTTAATCTTAACTAATTACATCTGCACAATACAAACCATCTCCCCTGTTACATACATGTCACCTCTAGCATTAAACAAGAGGTCAGTCACTCAGAGCTCTGCACCTGTTGATTCTCACCTTAAATTTGAGGAAGGGCCAGGGAAGGCAGGAGCTGCCCTTTCAGGTGTTTGTATAGCAGATGAGGATCATACAGCCTGGGTGCAGCCGGGCCAGGACTGTGGGAAGTATGAAGAAGGCAGCCTGGCATGGGCTGAGGGGTGCTGGGGGGATCCCTGGGGATTTCAGCTGCTAGGATGCTGAAAATAGCTGCCTAGCTAATGGGGAATTGGCCAAGCAGAAGAGGCTGGGCTGTGTTGTCTAGCTGCCATCTGGCTGCTCCCTCCCCACCCTGACCCCTGCCTTGACCCCCGCTCCCAGGAGCTGGGTTGTGGCCAAGCAGAGTGAGGGGTAGGGATGTATGCCATCAGGCTACTAGGAGAGATGGAAGCATCTGGGAAGTCACAGCCACTGGGACCCAAGGCATGTTGGCATAATCTGTTCCTTCACTCACCATGCCTCCACACTATCTCCACCTTATGGCCCAACTCACCTCCCTCCCCGCCCCCAAGAACTCCCCTTACAGTTCTCCCAGCCACCTGCTCTGCCTCAGGACCTTTGCACTGGGTGTTCTCCCAGCCTGGAATGCCCTTCCTTCCACAAACACCCATAGGGCTCTTTTCTGCTCATCCCTTGGGTCCAAGTTTACTGGGGGTGCTATCAAAGCACCACAAACTAGGGGCCTTCAAACAACAGAAATGCATCTTCTCACCATTCTGGAGGGCAGATGTCCAAAATCAAGATATCTGCAGGACAGTGGTCCCTCTGAAGGCTTCAGGGGAGGGTCCTTGTCTCGTCCACCTTCTGGGAACTCCTGGCAAAACTTAGCTTGTGGCTGCATCACTCGCTATAATCTCTGCCTCTGTGTACATCTCTGTGTGCATCCAAATATCTCCCCTGCCGTGAGGACAACAGTCCTTGCACAAAGGCTCCCCTCTAGCTCACCCTCATTGTAACCTGATGCCATCTGCAAATCTAAATAAGGTCCCATCCCCAGGTACCAAAGGATAGGACTTGAACATATCTTTTGGAGAGACACAGTCCTGCCATAATAGAGTCTCAGCTAGAATATCACCTTGCCCAGTCTGAAGTCACATCCTCCTTCAACCCTCTTAGCCCTTCAGGAGACTACTTCCCCTCAGGTCTGTTTCCTGTGTTTAAGGAACACATAGACACTTATCAAGCTACTGTTGTATGCCACACATAGTCTAGGTTCTGAGAGGACAGCCATTATGAAGACAAAAACCTTGGAAAGTTGACAATCCATTTGGAAGAGACAACAAACAGAGCTTTATGGTACATCATAATTTCAGGGGATGGAACACATAGACAAACAGCGCAACACATAGAGGACAGGATGGGGGTGGCCTTTAGCTGGTGAGGCCTCTTGGGGGACTCAAGCTACTTATTTCCCCACCCTACTGATGTGACCTCTAGGAGGGCAGGATCCTTGTCTGATTTATTCACAGGTGTATTTGAGCCTGGTACACAGTAGGTGCTCAATAATCTTTTTTGTTTTTTAGATAGGGTCTCACTCTATGGCCCAGGCTAGAGTGCAGAGACACAATCACAGCTCAGTGTAGCCTCCAACTCCTGGAATGAATGTTTGGTTTTTCCTCTCTATCGCTCTCCTTTTTTTAACTCCAGTCATGCTTTGAGTATGAGGAATAAACATTTTTTAAACAAAAAAAAAGAAAATTGAGACAAAGTCTAATGATTCTCCTGCCTCATCCTCCTAGTAGCTGGGTCTACAGGCACCACCATGCCCAGTTAACTTTTCCTTTTTTTTTTTTTTTTTTTTCTGTAGAAACGAGGTCTCACTCTTGCTCAGGCTGGTCTTGAACTCCTGAGCTCAAGCAATCCACCCATCTCCACCTCCCAGAGTACTAGGATTACAGGCATAAGCCACTGCACCTGGCCATAAACAAAAATTTTTACACTGTATATTGGTTCCTCTCCAGTTCAATAAATCTTTCCTTTTGCAATGTTCTCATTGAGATAAAATTCACTTAACATAAAAATCATCCTTTTATTTTGGGGGGTTTTGTTATTTCATAAAATTAATTAAGGGCTGGGCATGGTGGCTCACATCTGTAATCCTAGCACTATGGGAGGCCAAGAGGGTGGATAGCTTGAGCTCGCGGGTTGGAGACCAGCCTGAGCAAAACGCGAGACCCATCTCTACTGACGATAGAAAAACTGAGGCAAGAGGATCGCTTAAGCCCAAGAGTTGGAGGTTGCTGTGAGCTATGATGCCATATCACTCAGGGCAACAGCTTGAGACTCTGTCTCAAAAAACAATAATTAAGGGGGTACAAATATTTTTGTTACATGGATATCCTGTGTAATGCTTAAGCCAAGGTTTTTGGTGTGCCCATCACCAAACCAGTGTTCATTGTGCCCCCAATGTACCTTTTATTTTTATGTATTTATGTATTTGTTTATGTTTTGAGACAGAGTCTCAAACTGTTGCCCTGGGTAGAGTGCTGTGGCATCATAGCTCACAGCAACCTCCAACTCCTAGAGTCAAGTGATCCTCTTGCCTCATTTTTTTTTTTCTATTTTTAGTAGAGATGGGGGTCTGGCTTTTTGCTCAGGCTGATCTCAAACTCCTGAGCTCAAGCTATCCATCCGCCTTGGCCTCCCAGAGTGCTAGGATTACAGGCGTGAGCACCGTGCCTGGCCCAGTGTACCTTTTAAGACGTATAATTCAGTAGTAGTTTTTAGTACAATTACAAGGTGCTGCAACCATCACCAACCAGTATCTCAAGCTAGAACACTATCAGCCCAAAATAAACCCTGTCTCTATCCCCAGCCCCTGACACCACTAATCTCCTTCCTATCTCTGTGGATCTACCTGTTCTGGACATTTCACATAAATGGAGTCACACACTGTGTGTCCTTCTGTGTCTAACTTCTCTCACTGAGCAACAAGGTCCATCCATGTTGTGACCGGTGTCAGAGCCTCCTTTTCGTGGCTGAGTAATATCTTCGTGTGTGGATAGACCAGGTTGTGTTGATACATCCAACCACTGATGGATAAGATAAGTGAGCTGCTTCTGCTTTCTGCCTATTACAGATGCTGCCGCTGTGAACACCCTTGCATAGGTTTTCTGTGGCCGTGTATCCAGCTCTCCTGCACGCTGATCCCACCACTACGGGGGCGCGGTGGAGTCGCGTTTCTTGAACCTGCTAGTGTGGGGCGCGGGGAGGACCGGTCGGGGACCGCAGACGCCGTTGCTAACGCTGCCCCACTCGCCTTCAGGTGCGCAGGAGGATGGTGGCGCGGCCCTAGGCCCAGGCCCCGCACCATGAGCTGCTGGCTGTGCTTCCTGAGCCTGCACCTGCTGCTGCTGCCCGCTGCTCCGCCTCCCGCCGGGGGCTGCCCAGCCCGCTGCGAGTGCACCGCCCCGACGCGCGCCGTGGCCTGTGCGCGCCGCCGGCTCACCGCCGTGCCCGACGGCATCCCAGCCGAGACGCGCGTGCTGGAGCTGAGCCGCAACCGCATCCGTTGCCTGAACCCGGGCGACCTGGCTGCACTGCCGGCGCTAGAGGAGCTGGACCTGAGTGAGAACGTGATCGCGCACGTGGAGCCAGGAGCCTTCGCCAATCTGCCGCGCCTGCGCGTCTTGCGTCTCCGCGGCAACCAGCTCAAGCTCATCCCTCCCGGCGTCTTCACGCGCCTGGACAACCTCACGCTATTAGACCTAAGCGAGAACAAGCTGGTCATCCTGCTAGACTACACCTTCCAGGACCTGCGCAGCCTCCGCAGGCTCGAGGTGGGCGACAACGATCTGGTGTTCATCTCGCGCCGGGCCTTCGCGGGGCTGCTGGCGCTCGAGGAACTGACCCTGGAGCGCTGCAACCTCACGGCGCTATCCGGAGAGTCGCTCGGCCACCTGCGGGGCCTGGGCGCCCTGCGGCTGCGGCACTTGGCCATCGCCGCCCTGGAAGACCAGAACTTCCGGAAACTTCCCGGACTGCTGCACCTGGAGATTGACAACTGGCCGCTGTTGGAGGAGGTGGGCGCGGGCAGCCTGCAGGGCCTCAACCTCACCTCGCTGTCGGTCACCCACACCAATATCACCGCAGTGCCGGCCGCCGCGCTTCGCCACCAGGCACACCTGACCTGCCTCAACCTGTCACACAACCCCATCAGCACGGTGCCGCGCGGGTCCTTCCGCGACCTGGTCCGCCTTCGCGAGCTGCACCTGGCTGGAGCCCTGCTGGCTGTGGTCGAGCCGCAGGCCTTTCTGGGGCTGCGGCAGATTCGCCTGCTCAACCTCTCCAACAACCTGCTGTCCACGCTGGAGGAAAGCACGTTCCATTCAGTCAACACGCTGGAGACGCTGCGCGTGGACGGTAACCCGCTGGCCTGCGACTGTCGCTTGCTATGGATTGTGCAGCGCCGCAAGACCCTCAATTTCGACGGGCGGCTGCCGGCCTGCGCCACCCCCGCCGAGGTTCGCGGCGACGCGCTGCGCAACCTGCCGGATTCGGTGCTGTTCGAGTACTTCGTGTGCCGCAAGCCCAAGATCCGTGAACGGCGGCTCCAGCAGGTCACAGCCACTGCGGGCGACGATGTTCGCTTCCTCTGCCGTGCCGAGGGCGAGCCGGCGCCCACCGTGGCCTGGGTGACGCCGCAGCACCAGGTGGTGACAGCCACCAGCACGGGCCGAGCACGCGTGCACTCAGGGGGAACGCTGGAGATCAGGGACGCGCGGCCGCAGGACAGCGGCACCTACACCTGCGTGGCCACCAACGCGGGCGGCAACGACACCTACTTCGCCACGCTGACCGTGCAGCCCGAGCCAGCGGCCAACCGGACCCTGGGCGAGGGCCGCAATGATACGCAGGCGGCCGCCCGCGCCCCACTGGACCTCACCACCATCCTGGTGTCCACGGCCATGGGCTGCATCACCTTTCTCGGCGTAGTCCTCTTCTGCTTTCTGCTGCTGTTCGTGTGGAGTCGCGGCCGCGGGCAGCACAAGAATAACTTCTCAGTGGAGTACTCCTTCCGCAAGGTGGATGGCCCGGCTGCCGCTGCGGGCCAGGGCGGTGCCCGAAAGTTCAACATGAAAATGATCTGAAGGGTCCCCAGGGGCTGCCCTACCCCTTCCCCACTGGGACTGTTGGCTCTGGCCCTGCCAGGAGGGCCAGTCTGATTTCCACCTATGCATTTTCTGGAAGGGGAGGCAGTGGCTGCAAGGCAGCTCCTGGAAGAACTTCCCCTTTTTTGTAAACCCAACCACAGGACTGTTTTTCATCAGAATGCATCTTTTGCAGTTTCTCAAGCATTTTCTAAAGGTATCAACCCGTCTTCCTGCCCCTGCTGCAGTTACTGAGCTGGTAGGGGTTGAGGGGGTGTAAAGGGATGGGGGGCTGGGCTTCCATCTACCAGCCCAGGATGGCCCAGGATCCTCAGGCCCCAAAGCCACATACAGGACACACACTGCAGCTGTCCGCAGAACACCCATCCCTTCCCAGCCCTTTTGCACACTTTACACCCCTGGGGGGGATGATCTACATCCAGGACCCACAGAAGGGCTCACAAGCCCTGAGGGGAAGGTGCACAGAAACTCTGTACTATTCACACCTGGGTGACACACACCCTGAGCACGTACTTATTTTCATCTGGGACATAATTGGACACACAGCCTAGTGGTAACATATACACTCCCCACACACCCAGCTTACCCCAAAACTAGGCCCTAGGCTCCAGGGCTGACCACAGGAGCATACAGGGCTCTCGTGAGAGCACAACTCACACGTGGACACACAGGACATAAACAATTCATTCCTGGGCCATGCTTACCTCACACCCAGGACATGTACAACTTACATAGGGCCACACTCATCTTATACCTAGGATACAGTCATCTCACACTTGGGACAGGCACAGGTCATACCCTGAACACACTCAGCTCACAATTGGGACACAGGTCACACCTGGGACGGTCACAGGTCACATCCAGGACACACTTAGTTCACATCTGGGACAGGCTCACACCCAGGACATAGCTCACATCTGGGGCACACTTGTTGCACACTTGGAGCAGGCACAGGTCATACCCTGGACACACTTATCTCACGCCATGGACACACTCAGCTCACACCTGACACAAGCACAGGTCACACCATGGACACACTCAGCTCACATTTGGGACAGGCACAGCTCACACATAAGACACAGCTGACACCTGGGACACACTCAGCTCACTTCTGGGACAGGCACAGTTCACACATAGGACATAGCTCACACCTGGGGCAGGCACAGTTCACACCTAAAGCATAGCTCACACCTGAGACAGGTACAACTCACTCCCAGCTCCTACAGAGCCAAGCGTCTCCCAGCAGACATCGGCAACTGGGTTAAGGTCTTTGGAGCAGGTCAGCCTCACCCCGAAGGGCCCAGCACACTCCAGGTGGTTCCTATCATGGACTCCCATGCCCTGCCCTCCATCCTCCCCTCTGCCAGGGCCCACTGCCCAGCAGGACTGCCCACTAGGAGAAGCCATTTCCCAGCTTCCTCCACCACCCTTTCTGTTGCCACTTGCTTCCTGGCAAGTGTGCCCACCCTACACAGGAGAGGCAGATGCCCTGGCCCCTGGCCCAGGAGCATAGCTTCTGGGGTGGGAGTGTCCCTCTAATAGGCAAGCTGGAGGGACCTTCAGCCCTAAGTACACACTGACCCCTGAGCCGGCTTCAGACAAGCCCCAAGTGTGGCTTCATTATGCCCAGTCCTTGCTGACCCATGGCTTAGATGGGGAATGAAACCAGAGAATATGAATAGCTATTGGGAGTACCTGTTATGTGCACTGCAAGGGCAGTGATAGGGACAAGGCAGAATAAGGACTTCATGTTACAGAGAGCCCTGGACCCAAGTCCTTTGTCTGCAACTTTCAGGGTGGGGCAGTTCTAGGACCAGGAACTCACAGGCAGATTGCAGTTCTGGTTAAGGAAGAGCTTCCCCAAGGTCACTGCCCTGTTGTTCTACAGGTGGTGAGTTTCCCATCACTGGGGCTAATAAGCAGGCATTGAGGTTTTTCAGGATTCAGACACCACACAGGGCTCAGGGACCATCCTGGAGCCAGCCTCCTCCTACCCAGTTCTTGCCCCCACCCTCCACCTTGACCAAGTGACAGGACATTGTTGGGGAAAAGAGCGCAAGAAACATTGTGGGTCCTGACCTTGGCCAAAAAGGGGCTTGGCCTCTGACTGGAAGGTTATTAACAGTGTCCTGAGGGACTTTATAGGAAGGCTCAGTGCTGGGTTTGCTCTCACCCAGCTTTTCAATCTCAGCTGGCAACTAAGGACTGCTTGAGACCATCAGTGTCCTCATCTGTGAAGTGGGTCTGAGGGTGAAATCCATTGCCCTGTATTCAGAGGCCAGGCCCACAGATGGAATTGATGGCTTGACTTGAATCCTGGATCCCACAAGACTGCTCTGATATCACCCAGAGAGAAAGGTGACTCAACTCCAAAGGCTTTGAACGAAGGATTCAGATGGAGCCTGGAAGGAGACCCCTGTCTGTTCTTCCTGAGCTGTGGCTAGGAGCCTCTGGAGGCCCCTGTCTTGCCGCACAGTGTACAGATGGACTAGCAGGACTGGATATGAGTGAGAGGTGAAGACCCTACAACCCCCAAACTCCACCTCTGAGTTGTGTAGAACTGACTCTATTTTTTTTTTCCTAGCATCCTCCTGACCCTGGTTGCCATGATGACCCCAAAAGCCCCTTAAAATGACATCCAAGTGCCTTTAGTATTATCAAAGATAGGAGGACATGCATTCTTGGTGGCAGTGGGGTTTACAGAGCATTGGTATATTGGGATTTCCCACCTCCCTTCTCCCTGTCACTGTCCCAACATGTACCAAGACCCCTCAGCCCTCCACCTCCCACCCTGCTGTATTTGGTTAAAATCCAATAAAAATAAAACTGATTTAATAACAAACTTGATTTTTTTTTATTCTCGTGGGAGAGGTAGAGGGCAGAAGGCAGGCCTAAGGGATAAGGGGGCTGCTAGGGTCCCCACGGAGGAGCCGACTCTGAGGGAATGGTACCCAGTGATGATGTTAGAGGCCACAGTTCAGGAATACCCATGCCATTCCCAGTGCTATTCCAGGCACTGTCCATATTAAATCCTTTCAGGTTGATGACAACTCTCGAAGCTGGGTCCTGTTAGAAACCCATTTACAGGGTGGCGCCTGTGGCTCAGTGAGTAGGGCACCAGCCCCTTATAGCGAAGGTGGCAGGTTTCAACCTGGCCCCAGCCAAACTGCAACAAAAAAATAGCCAGGCATTGTGGTGGGCACCTGTAGTCCCAGCTACTCGGAAGGCTGAGGCAAGAGAATCACCTAAGCCCAAGAGCTGGAGGTTGCTGTGAGTTGTGAAGCCACAGCACTCCACTGAGGGTGACAAAATGAGACTCTGTCTCAAAAAGAAAAAGAAATGAAACCCATTTACAGATGGGCCAATGGAGGGTCAAAGGATGAGGCAACCTGCTTAGAGTCCCTAGCTAGGGAGAGGCAGAGAGCTGAGAGGGGTGGCAGCGCTGGGCTATCTGCTGGGGAACAGAGGCAAAGGCTGGCTCCTGCTTTGCCTCCTGGAACTGGTCACTTCTTCCCTTGTGCCTAGAAAAAGTCTCACTTCTGGGGTGGGGAGGGTCCTACGTCCATCCCTGCCTGTGTCTGAGGGCTCTGTGGAAAGTTAGGGAGCCTTGGCTCGGCGCCTATAGCTCAACCGGCTAAGGCGCCAGCCAC